CAAACTGTCTTTGCATCACTTCCATCTCATTCTGAAGCTCAACGTACTTCGTCTTCACCGTCTCTAACTCGAATTTCAACGTGTTAATATCCTTCTTCGCCGCAGCCCACCCTTCCTGTTTACAAAAGTTTCATAAGAATCTAATATGAATTTGTCTTAAATTTTATGAGTCTTTCCTCTTACTTGCCTGAAACGATTGCGGTGTTGCCTCGATCAATGTTTTTCGATTTGGTATCATTGGTTGATACGAACCCATAGCTTCTCCTAACGTAGTCGACTCCTTGAGTGATGTATTGGCTAAGGCATTACTGATCTTGACTTGCTCCGAGAATAGAACTTGAACCACAACTCGCAACGGTAACCTCTCGTTCTGCGCCGCGTGCATACATGCATCCATCGATAGCTTTTGACAATCCATCACTCGACATAGCCGCTTCCTCTCGTGTTCCGACAATGTCGGATGCGCCTATCGAATCAAATCAAATCAAGCATGATCAAGCTACTCACAAAACAATGTAAAAAACAAGATAAGACCCTAAATACCTTGAGATATGAATCGATTGCTCTGTATAGTCCATCGTCACAAGTCCTTGCAGATTCCGGTAACGCCTCAGCCAAAACTTGAAACTTTGTTAATGGCAAATTCCGATCTCTAGCAACTTCCGTGAGATAACTATCAACAAGCCTCGCAACTCTCATCTTCGCATTCTGATTATTATTACTATTACCACCACCATTGTTGCCGCTATTCCCTCTCGGAATTCCGGAGTCGGCGTACATAGACGGCGATGGCGACATTCTACTCGGACTCGACCCTTCAGTCTGTTCTTGAACAAGAAAATGTTCCAACAATCTCTGAACAAGATCAACATCGTACATTGTCTCACCTTTGTTGTTGTAACCAGGAATCAAAAGATCCTGAAGCGTCGCTTGCTCGAATTGCATCCCGACACGTTTCTCGAGCTCCGTGATTAACGCCGGAGCTACTTTGAGCATGTTTGCTGCTCTGAGAAGACGGAGGAGGAAGCTACAAGTGACGGAATCTTTCTGTGGTGGGATTATGCTGATTAAGGATTCGACGATCATTCGTTGGTCTTTAGGACTGATTCCGAGTCCGGCGAGACAAGCTACGGAATCTTGATGTCCGTTTGATTTACCGGAGATGACCATGTGAAGACCTCCTTTCCAATCTGGACCGGAGCTTCCTCCGCTACTGTTGCTTCCGCAGCTTACACTCATTTCGT